GTGTTGCAAGTTTTAAAAGTTGGGGGACTTAAATGCAAGCTTCAGAAAAGTTCAATGACCATTACTATACTTTACCCTTAAATTAATTTTAAAATTCAAATCACCCTTAAATCACGTGAGATTTTATTCAATCTTTTATAAGAACGGGAAGCATTGTTCATCTTCTCCACAACTAAAGAAGAAAAGCTACTGTCGGTCAGAGTGATTTCAACAATCCTTATCATTGGTAAATTTATTTTTTGGAGTTGTTGCTATTTTTGTCAATCCCATCTCCGATCGTCATCGAAAAAACTAAAGTTAAACATATTTGAAAGATTCACACGTTTTTCTGTCTTTCCGACCACCTAGGTCCCATCTTTTTCGGTCGTTGTCGTTGTCGTAAGTCTTGTCTTTCTTATTTAACTGCAATACTTAACTATTGATCAGAACCATTATCTACTGGTTACTTTCTCGTTTAATTTTCTACGTCATCTTTGCTTTGGTTCTGATTTTTACATGATTTGTTAGGCATGTTCGTCTTTTTGGCCTTATTTTTTTCCTACATAATTCATGAATATTTACATTTTATCAAACATTATCAGGGTATTGAACAAGCAAAAAATTATTCCTTTGTTGTCAAAAAAAACCAAACCTTTCTTTTTAAGGTTTGGTAATTTGTTTATTTTAGAATTATTGATACATAATAACAATAAAAAATAGATAAAAACAATAAACTTAAATGAATAATCGACAATCATGTGCAATTAAATCAAAATATAATAATTCATCATAATTCTACCAAATTATAATAGTTCATCGCAATTTAAAAAGTATTATTCTTAAACATTTTACACACCACCAATTTTTATTTGGTTGCCAATCGAAAATAGTTGGATTATTCTCCATATTTTTCAATTCATGATTGTATGATGCATGCACTAAGATAATGAATTGTATACAACTATTATTTTTATAATTGGAGTACATCAGTGTGCTTCATATCCCGATCAGAATGCTTGTTTGAAGAAGATGTAGGAGTTTTATTCAAATCTAATGTTACTCTTCATTTGCTTCACAATATGACCTAGTTGTGGATTTAGATGGTGAAGCTTGACCCTTAGTTTTCTTGTGTGTTCCTTTTTCTGTTTCTAAAATTATAGGATCGCCAATCCTAAGAAGCTCTTTTTTTTGTCCTTTTGTTGCTTCCGACTTTCATCACTTGCAATTTGAGACCCATTTTTGTAAATTTATCTTTAACCTCATTGAAAGTTTTAAATGTTTGTGATGCACAATGATTTATATTCATGCAAAAATAGGCTAAATTAAAATAAACAGCTTAAATTGATGTTAGATTATCACATTCAATCTTTTTATTGTTCTTTGTAACTCAACATATTTTTTGGCATGAATAGTTTACCGCTTTATGATACATGTATATATACATAATAAAGTTACAAGTATAAAAGTGCATATATGTTTCTGCCCATTTCTTTTTGGCTTCATACAATTATTTTACCCACTTCCTATCTTCAAATTTATGTTTGGATACTAATTCAGTCCAAACCCTTTCAAAATCTATGGGTGTTCTACATTTGTCAACACACTTCATAAATTCATCGTGAAATTTTTTATCACTATTTGTTTTTACGCTCCTCGTAAGATGTCATAAGAAAAGTCTATGTTTTGCCTCAATGAGTACTTAAGTAATGGCATTTTCCATGGCTTTATCTCCATCAATAATAATAGTTAGAGGTTTGTAGCCATCTCCCGCTATAATTAGTTGTTGTAACATGACACATAAGTATCATCTTTCTCATTAACAACCAATACACATCCAAATGGTATTGTGTCTCGATGATGATTGATGCCAACTAAAAATACGACCGACTTGTTGTATGCGTTGTACTTATAAGTTGTACAAACGTAATTACTTGTCCAAATTCCTTATAATCGATAAGTGATATACCATCAAACCAGAATAATTTTTATAAGTTTCCATGTTTGTCTCTTGTATGACTCATAAAAAAACGATTTGTTTCTTGCTTTCCATAGAGATATGTCATCACCTTTTTCAACATCACCATATTGTACTTCTTTTTGTTTGATTCTATGTATATAGTTGTAAAAATTCTTATGTATGAATCCAATATTTTCAAGAAAACCAACTTCATTAACGAAATTTCGCATTATTCTATTGGGAGCAATTCTAGAATTGTGCATGCTATTAATTTTAATTTTATTCGCTCGTTGATTTTTCGAAATGACCTAAAAATAAATCAACATCAAAATATTTAGATTTGTATTAGAAATATTATAAAAAAATGCATTAAGTATTTATTTACTTGATAAAAGGTACTTGTGTTGACTTTATCATTTCATGGTTATGTTGTGCATGAAAATTTTGAGCCTTCCAAAATTGATATCGTTCGTGAAGTTTGAATTGAATAAATGCTTGACATCCAACTCTTTTAACTTGTTTTTGTTCATGCTTTCTATTAGGTAAGCTTTCCATATTTCCTCTCTATAACCCTCTTTACGAAACATCAATTTCTTTGAAATTATGTGACTATCACTTCGACTCTTTACTGTTGTACCAGTCGAATTCCAAAATCTTTCACTTTTGCATAAGTATAATAAAATTCAATGCAATCATTTAATGACACCCACTTAAGCATATCCACGTCATTTTTATCATAATCTTTTACTTCTTTCTCAATCTTGTCTTATACATCCTCATTAATGAAAAAGTCAATTGTCTTCCTTGGTATAAACTTCTTTATTTGAATCATCATTGTAGTCATCTTCATAAATTTCAAAGTCATTATTCTATGTTTCTTTTTCTTGATCATCCATAATATCTAATAATGATGCAATCTAAATAGAAAAATAAATGTATTAAATTACTATTATAATAATGGTTAACACGATTTATACAATCAAATATACAATTACAAATGTTAATGTCAAATTAAAAACATAATGAGTGTGAGTAATACCAACCGTAAAGTATGAGCATTGATTTCAAACCTCTAGCAGAACACGAAAAATAATTTATATCGTAGTGAGGGAGTTTTTCAACAATCAACGATAATACTGGTAGTCAACGATTACCTAAAAAGATTAAATACAATTTATTATAAAATCAATAAAAATATAATAAAAATATCATAATAAAAATATTGTTATTAGTATTTTTATACATGGTTATAAAAATCACTACATCATGACATTAATTAATTTTAATGTGACTAACGATATGATAAAAAATAGTTAAATTTTTCTTATAATTATTATTAAAAATAACTATAAAATATAAAATAGTTAAATCTTAATATCAATATATTAATATAATAATAAAAAATTATTTTTTATATTTTTAATAATAAGAATAAGAATATGAGATTAGAATATAGTGAAGGGATCATACTAGATGAAATAAATTTAACCATGATGTCATGTAACAAAATGTGCACATATTTAGAAAGTTTTAGAAGCAAATAAGTTACTACTTATCTATCATTTTTTTTTGTCAATAATATAATTGAATAAATGATATGATTAAAGCTTTATACTAAGCATGAGATATATAACAATATTTCATTTCTAAATCAATACTTCCATAACACCATTCTTAGACAATGAAATTCAATCAACATAAGTACACACTGGCTTGACAATTTAAATAGACAATATTCAGTGAGAGACCTTTAGAATAATATGCTTACCTTATCTTGAATTCGTACATTCCCTTAGCCATAATAAAATTAAAATAAGGTTAATTACTAACACATATAACAATAATTTGTGAATTTGTTATTAAGCATATATATAACACCCAACAACTGAATAAATACAAACCTAGAAGTGCACCGTTAATCTTTCACTGAATCAAAATCCCATGATCTGCTATAGTACTCGAATGAACATGATTTAAACCCTTTAATACCTATAAGTAAATTAAGTAAACAACAAGGACATCTCTATAAGTAAATTAAGTAAACAAATTAACTCAATATGAAATTATATCTAGTTGAAAACATACTACGGAATTGCGAATTTTAAAATTTAAAATAAACATACTATTTTTTTTATTAAACTAAGGTGATTTATAAGTAGTATCTATTCTAAATATACTCTCAACCATTTGACATTGAACAATCACCCTGTTACAATCGTTGGTGCTCAATATGCATACTATTGAACCTTAAAAAAGATTTATTTTTTATAACGAAGGAATAATTTGTTTTTGTCCAATCCCTAATAAAGTTCGATAAAATGTGAAAATTACCCTTTAGCACTCAAATACTAAAAGGATTAATTACCCTTTGAGTCCTCCAGCATTTTAAAATATTACAAAAAAATAATGGTGAATATTAATGTATACCATTAATGGTGAATAGCATGAATGACACACATTCTAAAATTTTCCTCATGGATAACATCGGGGCTTAACTTTTAAAAAAGTTTCACGTCCGAGTTTAACCTAACGTGATTCATCAGCACCTTTTGTTATTATTTTACATTAATATTAATATATCTTTACAAATTAATGAATTATTGCTTCCTTCTAGCAGAGAGCTGGGAATTTTGGAGTGTCGCATTGGAATTAGATAAGAGGCGTGTAAAGCACAGAGCTGCTTTGGATGATTTGCATGAGACAACAGCTTGACCTTTATTTGAAGCAACAAAGATATGCCATAAAATCAAAGGATACCCAGGAAAAATGGCATACCAGTCGTTCCCTTTTACTCCAAAAACATATCAAAAAGCCACTAAATGGATTTCCAATTAATACTTGGTAATGTACGTGTGTGTATATATATATATATATATATATATATATGTATGTATATATGTATCTTTTTATCATTTTATCATAAACAATTTACCATGTTTTTCAACATTTGCATTATAGTATTGTCAATATTTAATTTTTCAATTGATATAGATTGTAAAATGTATAGAAATAATATATTACAAAATTGAAAACCAAGTATGATGGGTGGACTCGTGGCCTTGATTGTTAAAACCCAAGTTCAATCTGTTTTTAAACGTTTTTTTCTCTCTCAAACCTATTTTTAACCTAATAGTTTTGTTTAAATCATCTTAAATATCAGACAACTTCAAATTTGATCGTATACTCGAGCCCGAGACTGGTCTAATCGCAAGCCAAGCATAAACTTGTTTACTCAGTATTGTGTCCCCTTCCTATAGAGTCCAGCCCTTACGTTCGACTATAAATAATCCTATGGAACACTTCCCTAACCTTCTTCTCCAATGGTTCTAAACCAGCCTTCATTGCATCATAAGCTTGCCCCAATTCCTCCACTCTTTCCCTCACCGCTTTTTCCTTGTCATCGCCGATCGGAAACTGCTCGGTAGCGGTCAGCTCGATCAACGGCCAAGTACATTTCTCGATTTGATAGATTTCCATTAACAACCCACACGAGTTCCTTCTGTCTTTTTTCTTCGACTCCTCCATGATCTTATCGTGCAACGAGAGAATGGTGGCAGCCCAAGAGAACTGCCTAGGAAGATAAAACTGAACTTGCAAACCCCGTTCCTGGCACGGTATCGCGGCCACCAATGCCCACATTGCAAACAACAAAACGCTACCCATTGTGTAAGTGAGCATCGCGAGTCCATTGGTGGCAACGATTTCGTTCGCTCGTGGTGCTACCAAGTTGCTCCCGATTGCTTGGAGTTGCCTAGCTGCCGACCAAGTCCTCGAAACATTCCAAGATATTGATCTACTGTAATAGGATGAAGCCAAAGATTTTATGATAACGGATTAAATAAAGAAAAGGTATAATGACAAAAAAATATCTATTAACATTTAGTTAAACAATCACTGTTAACTCTAACCTTTAAGTATTTTAGTTTCTAATATTTTATTTTAGGGCGAAAAGATTTATTAGTGGATGAAAATCGTTAATCAACAAAGCATCAATACTCCAAATAAGATTATTTATTATCCTAAAATAAAATAATAAAGACCAAAATACTAAAAAACACTAGAGTGATTAATTAATCGAATGTTAGAGACATTGTTAATTGTTACTCTAAAATAAAACTTTAAAAACTAAAATATTTAAAAAATTAAAATAATTATTTAATCAAATATTATAATATTTTTTATATTACCCTCAACAATTCTACATTAGTTTAACACCATTAACGATTAAAATAGACATGAATTTGTTTCTTAAAAGCATCCCATAAAATCAGCATTTCTTTCGAATTCACAATAGGACTAATCAATGATATTATAAAAGGAGATGATGAATAATATCAAATTAAAGGACTAAATCCTAGATTTGGGATATAGTACAATGACCAAAACTATAATTTGACCCATAAAAGTAAAGATAATCTTGGTACCTTAAAAGACCCAGAGGACGATTTTGATCCTTGGCATTTCTTCCAAAGGATCGATTCCTGACAGCCAATGCTTGAGGGGAATCTTTATCTTCAAGCATCGCAATCGCTAACTCTCCCAAAGCCTTTTTCGCCCGACGAAATTGGCCTTCTCCTAAGATTCTCTTATTACCCAAAGCGCAAATCACGATTTCTATAAGCTTCTGCCATTGCCCGATCTGGTCGACCCCGTCGCGAATCGCATTACAAACATCGAGCGCCTTAACACTGCGCTCATAGAAATCGGAAATCAAACGATCCATAGGAGGTTTCGCCGCCTGAGATTTGTTGTTGACGAGGATAGCCCTGAATTCCTCTTCGCAAGAAAGGAACACATCGAGCAATTTACAAAGCCAAGGAAGTGAAAGCAGTTCATCCGAAGAAACCGAACTTAATTCATGAAACCGGTCCGCTATTTGCCTTTGAAAGGATTCAAGCTCCACCTCGTTCGAACCCGATCCATTGTTCAACGATTCCATTCCAGTAACGAACGGCTTAAATTCGTCAACGGTGTCAAAGTTCCTTGAAAATCCGTCGCGGGCATTATCAAAATGAATAATGACAGCAATAATTATTTATTATATCAAAAATGAAACTCTGATTTTAATTAGATCCGATATTTAAGAGAGAAAATTAGGGAGAAATAGAGATGGATGATGAACATGAAGAAAACCCCAACAAATGAAAGATCGGCATTTTTATTGGAGATTTTTCGACCACGTTTTAAGGTTGTTGGGGGAAAAAAGAAAGCGAGGACGATTAAGGGAGCCGGAAGGTTCTGGTCCAAATAAGCAAAGCAAGGACTACATCTGAGATTTAAGTTTTGAGCAGATCAGGGCCGTTGATCATGAATCTACTAGCCATTTGGATAATATTATGTCAATGATCCAAAACATTTTTTTCATGATGATATCCAGAAGGCTTATATCACAAATAATTATTTAATGAATACATTATTTTTCCTTTAAGTAATTAAAATATTTTTGTCAAAATAAGTACTTGAATTATTTTATGTCAAAATAAGTACTTAAATTATTTAATTTTTGTAATCTAAGTTCTAAATAAATTGACATGTGACATTAATTAAATAATATTTTAGGTACTTTGATGGAAAAAAATTGATCACTTTAGGTACATATTTTAACAAAAAAATGTAACTTTAGATACATATTTTGACAAAAAAACACTTTAGATAAATAAAAAGAGGATATATTTTAAGTACTTATTTGTTATATAATAATATTCAAAATAATATTTTTTTTATCAAAATGATACCTTTTGATAAAGATGTATCATGTGAGTAGCGTTTTTCAAAAAAAATATTTTGCAATATACACTTTCATCGACGTAATATATTTTTTAGACGTTTTTTCACATTCACATCATCCATGACCAGAATAAAAGAATAATAGTCTAAAAAATTATAAAGAAACTATACTAGCCATTTGCACATTGCACCTTTCACTTGCTCTTATACCTTACACTTATTAGTTGGTTATATATGTCATGATTTAAATTAAAATTATAAAGAAACTATACTAGCCATTTGCACCGCTAATTCCTGTATTTAAACACTATTGCAGATGCTACAACAATCTTATCTCTACAACAAAAATAACTCTTATATCTCTTAAGTTAAATTACAACATGGATTCCTGAAACGTGCAAGCAATTCAAGTATTGCTTGATCCACACTCCTAAATTTATGGTAATCTTTAAGGCAAATGCTCATCGGGATCGAGTGATTCAAATTGCAAGTCTTCAAAATCTTTCCATATATAGAAAAAGATAGCCTATTTGCCAAAAGAAAGTCACATTTACCTCCTTCCACGAGTTCCAGGACCCGACCTCGGGCCGGGGTGTCGAGAAAACTGCAGCCTCAAGTATTTAGAATCCGGGTCATGTTCATCCATTTTATAACCTGCACAATATATCAATAAAGTCGACTTACAAAGAATGTAGATTTTCTTTAGGGGGGAAATGTGTGTTAAAAGGAAGAAACAAGTTCTGTATAGTCAAAGGCTAGTTGGGTCTCAAGGCTTGACCAGATTTAGACAGGATCTTGAACAAGTAAAAACTACTACCATCGAACACAGTCAAGTTCTTGGATAGTACGGTTACATGTTTAAGATACAATAGTTTCATTACAGGAAAATATTTTTGTATAGGAAAGTAAAATGGCATATATATATATATCTTTAATTATACAGATATTATTGATACTTAACTTGATACTTGTGCAAGTCCAACAACTGAGTTAGTGCCGCCTAACTTGTAATTCTAACTAGGATTATATATGATATAGAATACAGATATATGCAATTGTGAAATGGATAATGGGCAAAATATATAATTTAAAAGCCATAGATATCATTCTTTCTTTATTCCAAGAAGAGTAGATTTGAACTTGCTCTATGAGCAGTGGATACAGAAACCTAGCACTTAAGCCAAATGCTCAAGTACACCAATATCATTCAATAGTATTCACTAAGGTTTCCTATTGTTTTTTCCATGTACTGTGTATCATTTTCCAATGATAATCTACCTTTTATAAATGTTAAAATCAAAGGAAGAAGAGATTACCTTGCAAGGCACTCATTGCAGTTGCCGCACATGCAGGACTTGAAAAATCAACAAAACAAAGGATAAGAGGATCTCCACCACGCTGTATTACAATGCACAAGGTTTTACCATTTGATGGAACACTCTCAATTACGACAATTTCACGTGCAAAGAAAACAACAAAGGAAACTATGCTACAGTAGACAAATGAAATATTTGGCAATGCCTAGTCCACTTACCTGTCGGGGTTCTTTGCTCACTAATCGTACTTCTTCATATCCAACAAATGGGCGAAAGATATCTAAAGCCTTGATCAAGGAATGAACCAACAGTCGGAAGCCAGGTAAAAAAGTTAAAATATTGTATCATTGAACAGGTCAATATATCTTATCAAGCACTACACTAAATAGGATACGGGCTACTTCGCGCCTTGTGCTGTCAGGAGGAAACCCTTCAACATATAGAGTGTTGGAAGCATCTGGAGGTAGAGGAATAGAATCCCTACCTGGCCTTGTCATTGCATCTACCGAAACTTGATCACTAAAACCAACATTTTGACCATTTGGTGACAAATCTGGAGCAGCAGATCCAAGACGACCCATCATAGGAGGATCAGCAATTGGATGAGCAGGCATTGCACCACCAACACTCCTTATCAACCCACCAAATGTACTAGCTTCTCCAGAAGTAAAAGAAGAAAGTTTCTTCAAAAACAATTTAATGAATGCTTTAGAATACAACAATGTAGATGCTAGGTGAGGAATAAATCAGAATGAGTAAAGGTTCAAGATGGTACTGCACTCTGGAGATAACGATCATATGCTGATCCAACTGATTTCGTATCCTTCACAGACAGATGTCCACCTAGATCATCATCTCTTGCCAGATAATTATGCATCTCAAGAGCTGAATGCAGTCCAGAAGGCGGAGCATCTGTCAAGTTAAAAATTGAATATCTATGTGTAACTCATTCTTAAAGTAGATAATGTCTTTCACAAAAGATGCAAGGTGAAACAAACATATTTATTAAATTTGTTACAAACAAAATGGAACTCAACTTGTGCTTGCACTGCTGGTCCCAAACTCAAATAAAGGAAGGCTGTGGGGCGCCTGTGATAACCAGCAGCAAACCTAATATGTCTTTTGACATGAACCAAAATAAGAGAACTAATGTTGGGGCATCTGCTACTAAACAATGTTCAGCATCTTTGTGTGCCCGGGAGCAAATGATAAATGGGCATGGGGTTTTAGGTAATTGCCCCTAAGCAAAGCGCCGCACCAACAATTGGGTATGGTCTGAAATAGGATTAAAGGTCCATTTGCCCAAGGCCCCAAGCTAATAGACGACAAGGATTAAAGAAAGGCCAAACTTTAGTATAGGTTAAGTATCTTGAAGCATAAATTCTCTTACATGTAATCAATCATGTAGAGGTAACAGAGCATCACAACTTAAGAACACATCATGGTGGGGTGCTGGAGTAAAATCAGTTATTAAAAACAAATTATTTGACCATAAAAACTTAAGAAGTTGTAGGGGTATAAAGAACTTTGAGATATACAAGCTATGAAAGGAGTCTAAGAAGACTTTACAGGATGCTTGAGTGAGGGGAATAAAAACACTTTTGATAAATTGGACACAATGGAGGGTGTTATATTTATAGGCTTTGCTCAGAAGAGGGAGAAGCAGACTAGTTATTTGGAACTGGCAAGTCTTTTAAGGATAACAACCATTTTTTTTTTTAACGACTAAGAAAAGGGCTACGATTTTCACAGGCCATCTCCTTACTTTACGGTGCATAATCTAATCAGCATCAACTAACCAAAGAGTAAACTGCCGACCTGTACAGGTATATCATATTACACTACGGGTGCAAGGCCAAGGAGAGTTGTTTTCTATTCACTATTGTTAAAAAGCTGTAACTTAAATACATCTAAGACAAAACAGTGCTTCGTTTGCCAAAACAAATATCTGATCTTCATTCTAATCATAGTCCCCGTTTTCTGGTGATTGATGAGCTCCATGAGCTGATACTACAGAGGGATGGAAATATTCTAATGAATTCTTCGATTATAATTGCTCTCAAGATAGGGTCACCTGAATATACCACTAGATAACTTAAAATGTAACATAAGTTATGACCTTGCACCGGATAAAGATCAAATGGTGATTGGCCAAGATGCAATTCCTATCGAAGTTTGAAAGAGCCTCAATGAGGCCAGGATTGGTGGTTGATGAACTTGTTTAACAAGACCTTGTCCCCGATGAAAACTTAAAAGGCGATGGGCCAATATGCAATTCCTATCAAAGTTTGGAAACGCCTCAATGAGGTCGAGATTGGGTGGTAAATGAACTTGTTTAACAAGATTTGACAAATTAATAAGATGCTTAATGAAAAATTAATAAGATTATTTTGGTATTTGATCCTTCCATATATGGAAAAGCATAGAAAAATAAATAAACAAACTGATTTTAGCCGCATAGTAAGTACGCGAAACATCGGCATTCTTTTTCATTGTTAAAATAATATAAACATTCGTTCCAGTTTATCCATAAATGCATCTAATTCAATAAAATGGAACCTAACATCAAACCAATGCTTTACTCCAATACTGATATTTAACAGGAAAAAATCCACTTTTCGTTCCCTAAACTAATCTCAAAAGTAGCTAAAACTAAAACAAAAATTCACAAAAACTCGGAAAATAAGAAAAGTATAAGGCAAAAAAGGATTTGTAGCGGCAAAGAAAGAAGTGTACCGTAGTCTGTACGTGGTCGTTTAAGCATCCCACGAGAAGAAAGCATCGGAGAAGTTGGCTGTTGTCGATTCCAATAACCATCCGCCATTTACTCTTTCTAAATTCGTTTGCAAATAAAACAATTATAAGTACTTCAATTTTCTAAATTTTATTTTATTAGGGAGAAAAATAACAGGAAAATCGGGGATCGAGGAAACCCTAGCTCAAGCAATCAACTCAAACAACAGTGAGTAGCGAGGCACCGAGTCGAGTCTACATGCTAAAAAGCTCTCCGTGCAGTAGCTTCATAAATCTTTTCGGATGGATCACTGGAGCGGATAATGGGTCAAGTAGTTTTTTTATTATTATTTTTCTTTTTTATATAATATGTGTCGTAATTCATTTGATCAGTCGATAATAAGCTTGATTCACTTTTTTTTTAATTATATACTTTTTCGGTTTATATTTTAATTTTATCCTTTAAATTAACATTTCAACCTCATTTTAAATATATTTATTTTTATTTGAAGAAAATGTAAAAAAAATTAAATTTGATTTGAGATTTATCAATAATATTCTAAAAATCAGATAAAATTTTGTTTTTTCCTAATGAACAATTAAAAAAATCTAAAATCATTAAAGATTATATTTTATAATTATGAATGGAAAAGATAAGTTATGTAAATATTAAAAGTTAAATATATTATATTATCAAATAATCACGATATTTTTTGTTTAAAATTAATAATATAATAATAAAGATAATATATTTTCGGCGATCTAATGATAAAGATATATTTTGTTTTAAATAATCAGTGGTGATTACAAGATAATATCTATTTATAATTTTTCTTAATCATGGATAACGTACATATACCTTTTAGATCACATATGTATATATTCAAATTCAAAACCTCAAGAAAAAATAACACTAATTTTAACCATTTTATAATATAATGTATATTTTTTAATTTGACTGTGTTACTATTATGAACATAATAAAAAAATTTATAATTATAATCATCGATATTAATATCGGTGTTGAGATTAAAGTATTCGTGAAATGAAACGACTTTGATAGGATCAAAACCACCTACAGGCTAAAAATGAAACTCGAGTTCTTGGACTACATATTATGTATATAAGGACAAAATCAAGATAAATTTATGAGGTTAGATTAGTTAATTTTGAGACTAATGAACTTTTATAAAATACTTAAATCATAAAGTTAAAAAATATAATATAATTTTATTAATTGCAAAATTAATTGATATTGAAAGATAATTAAATCAATAAAATCAACATATTTTTTCATTAAAAGTGAAAAGATCCAAAAATAATAATTAAACAAGATAAATCAAAATAAATGATAACTTTATCAATAGAGTTGATTCAAGTGGTATGCAGTCAGGACCGGCTCAATACATGTGCTAGATGGGCGATGACTCAGGGCAGCATGTAGGGCATGGGCATCAGTTTTACTGTTTGGAGCATTTCAAACAGGTTGGAGTCATGGACTTCGAGGATCCATCGCCCCAAATAACTCCACTCCGCGGCTTTGCTTCCACGATATTCACTCTCACTTCCAGCTCGGAGTTGTCACCACTCCCCTCGTTCTGACCTTCAGAAGTCCCCAAGCAATCTCTATGTTCAGGCACAACCAGAGCGTCTTTGAAAGATCTCGAGTCTTTTTTTGCCTCCCTCATCACTCATTTCTGTTTGCTGTTTGGCGATTGCACCTTCTCCAAATTGCTTCGGTCAACTGCTAGAAAGACTTCAATCGAATAACCATCAATAACTCTACCGTGACCATCCTTAACTGCCTTCTTTGCTTCTGCCAGAGATTTGAATCGAACAAAAGCAAAAGTCGTTGGCAAATGTTTCCTTCTCCTGCTCTTATAAGCAACAAACACATCAGTCATTGTTCCATGGACTTCAAAGGCTGCTCTCAACGCTGAGTGGTACACTCTCTTACTGACGTTGTCCACAAACACGGTGTAACCCCTGCGGCGGTGCTCCTCCACCCTAATCGTACTACCGCTCCCTCTGCTCCTGGCTGACCTTTCGCCTCCCATGTTTCTCTATACCGTGGAATAAGCTCTATCAACCTATCTACCTTAATTATTCCCCGCTGTCCCACGCTATCTATCTCGATGCTTTTGCAAGATCTTAAAAGTGCTTTGCATTATTTCTCCTTTAATCTTATCAATGCACAACTAATGTGTATTTTGTAATATGTATCATGTCTCCATATAGAACATCTATGCACTTATTTTATAATTTAATGTTGCATTGTTCTCCATTTAAATTAGTGAAGCATTTAAGAATAAAAATGTACGAAGGCATTGTTTTAGGTGATATTTGTAATCTTGTAGGTTTTGGTTTGTATTAGTATAATATTGTTTGACTATAATTTATATTACATTTTTGTTTTTAAAAAATTATTTATGTTTTGTCTATTATACGGTACAAGTATAGAGGCATAAAATTATTATCTCGCTCAGGGCATTAAAACTTATTGGACCGGCCATGTACGCAGCTTGATATTATTTAAGCAATGTTTTGAGTTTGAGTCCTTGTGTATGTAGAAAATCCCTGTTGGTAAGGACGGACACATAATTTTATGTTGTGGGTGAATTTAAATTTATAAAATTTTGGAGGTTGAACTTGAACTTATAAAATTTTAGGGGGTGAAAACAAATTTTCAATAGAAAATACATAGAAAAAAAATCTAAAATATATGGTAATTTTAGATTTTTAGGAGAGACGACCGTTCCCACCCGCCCCGCCTAAGTCCACCCCTGTGTGAACTTCATCTTACAAGAGAGGAAATTACAACAGTACTTACGAATATTTTAATCCAAACACAAACCACAAATTCAGAATCCCACACCCTTGGGTATTTCACTTGCTAGGGACTAGAAGATGTAGATGCAAACCAAATCCATTAGAATCCATGATGTAAGGTTCTAGTCTATAATATAATACAAACTAAACCATACTCCACTGACATATGCTTCCTACATTTGTAGCATGTT